CTCGCTGTGTGCAAACCAAGCGGAGTCGCCGAGAAACGGCAACACCTGGATGGCAGTCTCACGTACTAGGTTTCGGGCCCCAAAACAACGGATAATCCGTGACTCAGAATCAATAGGTTGCGGCACACAGAAACCGTAAACACGAGCACTAAAGAGACCGGGCATCGTGGCAGTTAGGTAAATATTAAACAGAGCTAGAGTTAAGACACATCCTTGCTTCACCGCACTGAGATAATCAAACTCATGCGAGGTTTGTCCACATAGCTTTACCCTCGACCGCATGGCACTATGCGGGCATCAAATAAAACTGACAAACTTACCTGGAAAACGAAACTCACCCACCATCAGCCACAGTGTCTCGCGGTCCTCTGCATCAGCTGCCCTGTTGAAGTCGGTGAACGGCGAATACACAGACTTGTTCCCCTGAATCAGTTGACGAACGGCGAACACCCGTGCTGTGGCCTGAAAGTACTCCTCAATGCTATTCTGTCACCTTTTCAGCGACCTGAGAAACGATGCCGTTTCGTAAAATTTAAGTTATCAACTTTCCAACGAAACTCATCAAGCTGATGCCACGAGAATTGTTGGCACTCTGCATGCTACCTCTGCGCTTGTGCAGTGGTAGCAAAAGAGCATCATTCAGCTCAGCTGGCTCCTGTTCTTTAAACCACATGCGTTGCATCAAGTGGTGTAACACATGCAACCAAGTGAGTCCACAGTTTCCTGGCACTGCTGGTGGTAACCGTCTGCACCGACACATTTGACGTTTCGCAGCTGAGAACTTTGTCTCAGCTTTTGGCTAACGGCATCCGATTCCGCATTTGCCTGTCAATACAACCCCATAGTACAACCACAGGAAGCCTACAGAATGACCACAGTGGCATACGTTGTACCAATCACATCTCCATTCACCATATCCAGCGTAAACCCGAAGAAATAAGACGGGGTGGCATGTAGATGCGAGCCACGTTTCATCAACGGAGCCGGTCCACACTCCAACATGCCTAACAGCGTTATTCTTGTCTATGCAATTGGCGGATCATGCACGAGGCGGTGGTTGGGCCGTCGACTGATACACACTAGATGCATGTGACCAATTTCTGAGTCTAACAGGGTCACGAGGACTGTGAACCCCATCTGCCCAACCAATCACTAACTGTCTCATGGGGCCAGTATAATCAAGGTGCATGTACCCTGTTAACGTTGACATTAAGCGCAGCCACATGGTGGTTTAACACAACCAACACAGAATTTGAAGGATAATGAACACGCAAAACTGGCGCAGAAAACGATGCAGAATAACAGACTTGTGGCAATCAAATAAAGTGGAATACTCTTATCTAGTTTAAGAAAAACCAGCTTAAGTGTAACTCGGTTAACCCAAGCAAAGACGAATTGTCTCCTTGAGCCAGTATAGCAGAAGCATCAGCTTTTCAACATGAGGACATCTCTTCAACATTCATATCAAGCGAAGCACACTGCGGTGGTTAGGCAACAAGCGCATTTTATGGAATAAAATAAAAACCCAAAATGGATAGTTATTCCACAGCATAAAGAAAGAACAGAGGAGCTAAGAAAATATGTATTCATTCTTCTCTAGTTTAAGGGTGGTCTTGTGCAAGTTTACTTTAACTAGAGAAGAATGAATACATATTTTCTTAGCTCCTCTGTTCTTTCTTTATGCTGCGGAATAACTATCCATTTTGGGTTTTTATTTTATTCCATAAAATGCGCTTGTTGCCTAACCACCGCAGTGTGCTTCGCTTGATATGAATGTTGAAGAGATGTCCTCATGTTGAAAAGCTGATGCCTCTGCTATACTGGCTCAAGGAGACAATTCGTCTTTGCTTGGGTTAACCGAGTTACACTTAAGCTGGTTTTTCTTAAACTAGATAAGAGTATTCCACTTTATTTGATTGCCACAAGTCTGTTATTCTGCATCGTTTTCTGCGCCAGTTTTGCGTGTTCATTATCCTTCAAATTCTGTGTTGGTTGTGTTAAACCACCATGTGGCTGCGCTTAATGTCAACGTTAACAGGGTACATGCACCTTGATTATACTGGCCCCATGAGACAGTTAGTGATTGGTTGGGCAGATGGGGTTCACAGTCCTCGTGACCCTGTTAGACTCAGAAATTGGTCACATGCATCTAGTGTGTATCAGTCGACGGCCCAACCACCGCCTCGTGCATGATCCGCCAATTGCATAGACAAGAATAACGCTGTTAGGCATGTTGGAGTGTGGACCGGCTCCGTTGATGAAACGTGGCTCGCATCTACATGCCACCCCGTCTTATTTCTTCGGGTTTACGCTGGATATGGTGAATGGAGATGTGATTGGTACAACGTATGCCACTGTGGTCATTCTGTAGGCTTCCTGTGGTTGTACTATGGGGTTATATTGACAGGCAAATGCGGAATCGGATGCCGTTAGCCAAAAGCTGAGACAAAGTTCTCAGCTGCGAAACGTCAAATGTGTCGGTGCAGACGGTTACCACCAGCAGTGCCAGGAAACTGTGGACTCACTTGGTTGCATGTGTTACACCACTTGATGCAACGCATGTGGTTTAAAGAACAGGAGCCAGCTGAGCTGAATGATGCTCTTTTGCTACCACTGCACAAGCGCAGAGGTAGCATGCAGAGTGCCAACAATTCTCGTGGCATCAGCTTGATGAGTTTCGTTGGAAAGTTGATAACTTAAATTTTACGAAACGGCATCGTTTCTCAGGTCGCTGAAAAGAAGGTGACAGAATAGCATTGAGGAGTACTTTCAGGCCACAGCACGGGTGTTCGCCGTTCGTCAACTGATTCAGGGGAACAAGTCTGTGTATTCGCCGTTCACCGACTTCAACAGGGCAGCTGATGCAGAGGACCGCGAGACACTGTGGCTGATGGTGGGTGAGTTTCGTTTTCCAGGTAAGTTTGTCAGTTTTATTTGATGCCCGCATAGTGCCATGCGGTCGAGGGTAAAGCTATGTGGACAAACCTCGCATGAGTTTGATTATCTCAGTGCGGTGAAGCAAGGATGTGTCTTAACTCTAGCTCTGTTTAATATTTACCTAACTGCCACGATGCCCGGTCTCTTTAGTGCTCGTGTTTACGGTTTCTGTGTGCCGCAACCTATTGATTCTGAGTCACGGATTATCCGTTGTTTTGGGGCCCGAAACCTAGTACGTGAGACTGCCATCCAGGTGTTGCCGTTTCTCGGCGACTCCGCTTGGTTTGCACACAGCGAGGATGAGTTATAACTCCTGACGACGAGGTCGCTTTGATGGTGACCAAGTTCGAACTCAACAATGACACAGGTAACAATGCCTGTCTTTTGCACTCATCACCAGGACAAGAATCTATTACATTTTCGCAAATCATGATTACTGGTGGCATTTTAAAGATCTCATCAAGAATTCACTACCTCAGGAGCGCCTTGTCAACAAACTTTCAGATGACCAGTGAACTGCGCATCTGCATTTCCAACGCAAATGCAGCTTTCTGGAAGTTGGAAAACTGGGTGTGGATGGAGCATCACCTTGCTTTTGAAAAAGCTGATGGTATGCAAATAACTGGTGTTGGCAGTTCTGCTCTACGTTAGCGCAACATTGACAGTCTTCATAAAGGGCAGCTTCTTCTGGAGCGCTTTCATTAATAGTCCGACAGTGTTACGGAGTTTTCGACACTGAAGTGTTCCTCCGGAGCGACATGTACGGAATGAATAGCACGCTGTTACTAAGACACCCGAGGAGGATCGGATAAGTTCGCTGCATAAATTCGACTAGAATACTGAATCACATGATGTATGGCTAATATATTACAGAGAAGCGGAAGGTATGCAAATTGAAGCTGCGTTTTAGTACATAATAAAGGTGGAGTTATCACGAAGTAATATTGGCTTTATGTGCTGAAAAGCAAAGAAAGTGAATAGCTACCAATGGAGTGATCACATCAAAAATACCGTCCCTCTGATTCAAGGGAAATTACTTCCTCACCAGGAGGGAAAACGCCGTTACGAAGTCGTCGAATATTGACGGATCATCACTTATCGGAATCTTGCCCCTGGTATCGTGTCGCATGCGGTGGTGTGTACATCAGCCGAACCATCAATCTGGCCATGAGGAGCCAAAATCTGGAATAACGAGTAGGTTAAATTGGTAACCATCCGAGCTTGTAATGTACGCTACTTCAGACTCCACGTAATGCCCCAGTCAGGTAATTCGGTTGGTATGTATGTTGCAGAAGTATGGGCCGGCTTCAAATTGAGCGTGTATCCAATCTATATGCCTATGGGGCTTTGTGGATTGATCTGTGGGTGGTATAGTCAAGGCCACCAATAGCCCCTCTGTACATGAAGGCGTCTTATGGCTGTTCTATGGAGTCTGTAGTAACCGGCATATCCCGAACCGGATGTTGTTAACCCATGCACATCCGTTTTTAATTTTGTGGTAACCCAGTCACAAATGCATCGAGGTGATGTGCTATTCAAGAAGCAGTGGTGTACATAGACGTAAATGCAAACTTCGATAGGCACGTATAAATTCAGCACGCGAGGGCCTACTGCAGTCGAACAATTTACCGGTAGGCGATACCCAATATTTTGAATAATTATCCTGGTTTCGTCATTGTGTGCCTTAAACGAATTCATGCTTCTGATTCGTTTTATCTTAATCACTCAAGTTCATGTAGCGCGTATGTACCAACGACTTCGGCGACAAGTGAATGTGTTTTTTTCTATCATCTTCCGCCAGAAAACCAACTGTCAGAAGGATGACGCATTAATAGGACATCACAGCCACAAACATACACAGCTCTCCAAAGGCAGATTTATCTATGTGGCTCAAAATAACGAAGTCCAGTTGAAAGTTGTCAAATGACAAGTTTGGGAAAAGATTGAGTTAATTACCAAACGAACACGGATCTGAAGGCCGTCGTCAGATTTCCTTACCTGGATGGACTAGACATATTTAAATGTCACTAATATAAATCTAGTTTAACCAGTTTGGAATTTACCTCGAAAGCCACAATGACCTCCACAGGATTACAGTTTTCTCTATCCACGTCGTCAATCCATCGAACGGTTTGTCCCTGCAAACTAAGCGAGGGTCCAACATTTTTACTGTCTTCACAGTAAACAGTTTCTTCAGGGTTATTTTCGGAGTTAGCAACTGGGTGATTCTCATAGCTACCAATCAAAATGTTAACATTGTCGCTGTCAGCATGAAGTAACTCAGAGAGGCTCGACTCGGCGGTGTGTCTCGAGGCTGTTTGTTTGCTGATCCTATAAGGTTGTGATGAAAATAAAGATGGCTTAGAGTTTTGGGTTGTAGCATACTAGCTGAACGACTAAACTGGTAGTGAACGGATATCTGAGTGAGATCATTTGATAAGGGAAATATTCTGAAGGCAATTCGGATTAACAGCTGACAGAGAAGTTCCATTGTTTAAATTCTCACTTGGTGCTGCTCTGTTCCACGCTACGGCTGATTGAACATTTTGGAATCAGAAGGCAAGATGCTATTTTTCAAGTATGTTCATCAGCGTACACAGTGTAAAATGGACTAGGTCTTTCATTTATCACACCTAAAATAGAGTTGAAAGGCTACCTCAATGGAGTAGAAGAAGTGAGACGTTGCAGCATTGCATTTGCGTTTATCCGTTAGGTTTAAAGTAATGCACCAGTCACATGGGGAGCTATAGAGAAACGCCATTCGCAAGAAAGCAAAATGTTCGGAATCACATGGTTCTTGATTGTGAATATTTACAATGTGTGGTTCGATCATTTATTGGGTCCTCTATGGACTCTTCCTTTCTCTTTGCAACTTGATCTCTCTTAATGCATGCTCTGACGTTAGCAAGGCGGCAATTTGGAGTGTTGCTCTACTATTGTGGACTATAGTACATAGTGCAAATAATATTTGACAAGCATTATTCTGATTTTGTGCACATAATAATACCGCATAAAATTGTCACACAAGATGCCCGGTACGCTCCAAATTACTTGGCGTTTCGACTCACAGAATGCGCAGCAACCAAACCATTAGATAAGTTGTGACATTGGGTCCCACTAGCAGTCTGCTAATGAAATTATTATGCCAGATTATTTGGAAAACCCCTCCTCAATGCAGAGTACCAAAATCAAAATACTCCTTCCTTTAGCCGATAACAAACTTCCCTACAACATCACAGAGCTTGCCATCCATAGTACAAACTTGATCGCGCAGATCGTCCGGAGAAATACTACTGTCTAGTTGGTATCGCTAGCTGGAAGAAATAATGCCTGGTCTGATTTTTGGATTTTGGAGCACCCGCCTTATGTATTAGATTGCAACGTGCAATCTCAGTTGTGGCCGGGGTTGAGTTTGAAGTCAGCCTCTGCCAATACGATCACTGGGACCGTGACCGAATGGCAGGGTGTCGGTGTGGTTCTCTCCCATCCCTGCACTTCACGACCGACTGTTTCCTCTTTGTTTAGACTCATCAGGTAGAGATAGCCGAGCTGGGAATGGAACTCGGCGCGTAGTGCTTGGCGGCTATCGCCAGGATCACTATGCCAGTGATCTCCGGGAGCAGTGTTTGACACAGTGGTTAGAAGTTGATAGTTAGGTTTTGGAGCATCTGCCGTGTGTCTTGGAATGCGCCACGCAATCTCAATCGTGGCCTCGGCTGACTTTGAAGTCAGCTTCTGCCAATACGATCACTAGGATCGTGACTGAAGTGGAGGGTTTCGGTGTGGCTCTCCCATCCCTGAACTCTTGGTCTATATAGGTTGTAAATAAACTCAGGTCTTCAATTAGTATGGGCATACAATTCGGAACAAATTTGGTCTTTTTTAATCTCGCAATATAATGGATTTGTAACGACCATGCAGTGCTAATTTTGGAGTAGAATTTCGCTCACTTGGTCATAGCTTTTTGGTAGTCTTGTCCCACGACTTCCAACATATAAATTTCGGGCTCATGCGTAAAATAATTGCTGATCAGAGGCTGCATCGCTCCGTCTCTTGAATCGCGACAGTTTGACTAGGCATGAAAGTTGATATTTGTAACTGGAGATATGGCTTACCAGATGTTCACGGTTATGAGACGTCCTACGAGAACCATTAAGGCCTGAGATAAAGGCGAAAGAAATAAAAGAAAACGTCTCCGAACAAGTTTAACAGTTGTATTAAAAGAGAGGGTCACGCCCACAAGTGTGCACCAAATAATGAGGCAGTCAAAAATATGTTTGTGGAAGGGTTATTTGAAAAATTACATGATGCTTTATTGCTTCAACAGATATTTCATGATTAGAAAAGTTTCTCTATACATTGTCAACGTTTGTTCACCTTTTTTCATAGCACAAACTATTTAATATCCCCAAGCTTGCTTACGCTTTTTGACATAATCTTAATCAATAATAGTGTACGATAACTGTGAATCCTTATCGGGAGAGGTTCCTCAATGATCACAATGTTCCTAAAGAAATGGCCGAGACATTTTTGGATGAGCAACCCGCTTTATCATAAACGCGTATTACATCCAAATGACATTCAAATTTCTATGCGTCACCTTCCGCAACGACCGTCCCAAATGCCCAGCGTATTGTAATTCATAATCCGTAGGATTTAGTTACAGATTACTACCGCATGTCCAAATGCTCTGGTCCCTCTAATCTGTTAATGCATGACAATGGGTCATTCCTTCGCCTATGAGGTAGCTCGCACTAAGTTGCCAACTCTCCAATAGTAGATGTTGATCTATCTCAAAATGTCACATCCGCACATGGGTGTTGAACGACCGTATGCATGCATGTGGGTACATGTGTACTTACACATGCACCCAGTGTCGTCCCTCTTGCAAACGTGGGAGCATGCGCGGATGGTTGAGTTGGAGTCAACCTACGGCACCTCACAAGGGAAGTTCAACGACCAACGAACACTCACTAATGACGTGTCACCGCCACACTTGGAATCCTCCTAGTTTGAACAATGTTTGTGTTCAGTCATCAGATCTGCTAGAAGTAAGCACCTTATAGAACATTCGTTGTTTAGCTTCAGGTTGGTCTACCTATTCCAATGGGAACAATGTCCCCCATGGTAGTCGAAAAAGCAATCGCACAAATTTGTCCAACTGCCTATCACCCATTGCTGATTCAGCTTAGGGTGTGTAGTGCCCTAGCCACGGCATATACTCAACCAATCGCAAATACAAACTTACCTGACTCCCTCAGACCAAAGGGACTGCCGAATACCAGTTAGATGAATGCCGGTCTGCGCCACCATCGTAACCATGTTTAGGCCGCTGAAATAAGCCACCACCAAGTAGCGGATAACGATCAATAAGTATAGACCGCTTCATATAGTGGTTTGCATATCCGTCCGCGCTGGTTACGGCGTAAGCTTCGGCACATGTGGTAGCTAGGATCTCCTCCTAAGACAGGCATCACAAGTTGCCCATCATACGGTATCAGTTTGGAGAGAAATCATCGGGTTTCGTTCAGACGCGTGGCAGGGCCGCCAAGAAGGTGGGGCACGACCAATTTCATTGGATTGTCTGTCGCTTATGCTCAGGGCTTCCAACCGGTGTCCCATTGGCTAACGTCCCATGACCAACGAGCGATCTCAGCCTCAGGAACTTGAATGTGTAGCAACCGAATTCGAAAATGTGCCAAGCCAAAAGCTTCGTACAATGCAAAAACATGCCTTTAAAATCGGATAGTTGGCTAATGTGGACGAATTGGCAACCTGGTCCTTTTTAGTGAATGACCTCTTCCAGATTATTTTAGTTATGTTAGGCTATTCGAATATTCCTTCAAAACACAATGCTGGTATTTGATTTGATATAACCTAAGCTATTCTGAACTTCGATTGCAGCTTAACAAACCTCAACAGAAATAGGTAGATATATAAATGTATATTTAGGTACATAATTGCGTGTACGCATGTATATGTATATATATACCTATATATTCATGTATAGTAGTGCATGCTACCTTGGAAGTGTGATGTCGACTGATCAGCAGGTACACATTGAGTTGCGTATTCGCGTGTCGAAGGCAACAGCGGCATTCGGAAAGCTGGAGTACCTAGTGTGGAACCACCATCAGCTAATCACTGGCACGAAGCTGATGGTGGACAAATCCATGGTGCTGTCCGTTCTTCTATACGGCAGTGAAACGTGGACGATGTACCGTGGCGGGATGTGCGATATCTCGAGCGCTTCCACCAGCAGTGTTTGCGACGGATTTTGCGCATCATTTGAGGCGACAGAGTTGTTGACACAGAAATGTTGCGACAAAGTGAGATGAATGCAGTGGACTGCATAATTTTACTGAGACACCTGAGGTGGCTCGGTCATGTGAGCCGTAGAGATTCGACGCGAATACCGAATCAACTCTTAAACGGTCAGCTGAGTACTGGGAAGTGGCATATGGGGAAACCAAAGCTACGTTACCAGGACATGATCAAAGTGAGCCTCTCACGTTCTAAACTTGATTGCAGGTCATGGAAATCGAAGGGGGTTGATCGGCGTGCATGGCGCCATCTAATCACGAAGGCATTTGATGAAGTGGGGGAGAAAGACCTCATACATGCAGAGAAGAGGCGGCAAGTGCAGAAGCGGCAAGCACAGATGGGTTGTACTCCATCTACCTCGAGCGCATGGTGCTGTAGCACATGCGGTAGCGAGTGCCTGAGTCAGGCAGGCCTAGTGAGCCATGAGCGAGGCCACTCGGGACCACTACAGAAGCGACGACGGGTCCTGCAGAGAACGTAGGCAGAACCGGCGCAGCGTTTGTAGGTACGCTGCATTCGACTTACTAACCACGTGCTTGCATGCTAAGTCTCTTTATTTCAGGTGGTGGGTTTTCAATTTTGTCCTAATGCTTTTCTTTCGCATATAAATGTCTACCTGTACTCTATTCCATTAACTTGCACGCCACGCTTAAGCCAAGTGTATTCGATTTCCATAACATTTTCGTGTTCGTGGCATTTCCGTAAAGTACACTTTCTGGCCTATGAACTTATCTAGGATTCGTTTGTAAATAACCTACTTCATATACTCATTAACTTAAGGTTTATGTCACCGTTTCCTTATGCATTAATCGAGTTATTTTCTTTGCATCTCTCTCTCAAGTGATTGGCTGTTGCTTGATATCCCCGGTGTGGCTGCGCTTGATGTGCATGTTGACAAGGTGCCTACCTGTCTATTACCTACTACCTCGTCTATACTGGCTGCAGGAGACAGTATAGACCAAGTGATGACTTGGTCGAGAGAAATGAAAACCCTCACTTCGAAGTTGGCGTCGGTTGGCGCATCCCGACTGCCTGGCTGGGGTCCTAAGGACGGTGAACACGTTTGGTTGGACACACTTGCTGATATGGCTAGGAGCCGGCACTAATGGCGTTTGTGTTGTGATTTCCTTTGCCCATCCCCTCCTGTTTAGTATCCCACTCCAATCACGATCTCACCTGTTAGGCATAATATGATTCTCTTTTTACGGCAGCCAGCTGTTAGCTCTCCGGAACGATGTCCATCCGTTACTGGGGACTCAGCGGGCGTGCCACCGTTTGTCACTGTTTTCCTTTTCTTTTATTTTATATTGCGGCACAATAGCTGAGGTGTTTCCGCCTCCAGCTAACGTGTAATGATGATTGGTCGTTGCTGGAGGCGACGGGATGCACGGTCCTTGTGGTCGTGCTAAGCTCCAATAGTGGTTCCATGCACTCAGTGTGGAGCGGACTACGGTCCAGCCACCGCCTTGTGTGCGCTTAATTCCCCAAATACAGCGTGCTCGTGTTTGCCTGTGAAGGAGTGTGGGCCGGCTCCGTTGATGAAACGTGGCTCCCATCCACATTCTCCCCGTCTTATTCCTTCGGGTTTACACTGGAGATGGGGTGTATGTGGCTGGAGCTGTGGGTGGTGCAGCGCAAGCCATCCATGGTCCCTCTATAGGCGCAGGCGTCCGGTGGCTGGTCGCAGTGACAGGCAAATCCGAAACCGGATGACACCAGTCATTTATGTATATGTATATTCTTTTCTTATATTATTGACGATGGTGAGTGTATCTACTTTTCCCGCTGTTCATCCGTCATACCGAACTTAGGTGCACTTAGAAATGGTAGCTATTATCGAGATAAGTGGCGGATGGACAACAGTGACTGCTAGAATTTGCACTAGAATTGTCCACTTTTCTGGATTGACCTAGAAGTGGGTAAATTCAACTGTGGTAATACGGTGGTGTTTTAGTACATCTTTCATTGAAAATCAAATGCACGCACAGGAACAGTTGATTTGTGGTGCAGAACAGCTGCAACCGAGATGTATGATGACAGGTTTTGAGTAAAATCTTGGCGAAAATATTGCCATGAGAACTACAGTCTGGACCATACGTCAACTTACCACTTGATCTGCGCCATTTGCCGAGGCTCTTTATGTCCACTATTTGTCTACCCCCGTGTGATTGACTATACAATGCTCAATGTTTCCATTGCAACTCTCACCGTGGATATGGAGATTTACTCGGGATAATGATATCTGATATTCATTGTTTTCCTAACGATGTCTAGATGGTCCCATTCCAACCCCCACGGTTAGATACGATCGTGCCCATGCTATGTAACATTCCCAGATGTCCAACCACATACCCACTTGAGATATTCTCTAGTCACAAGTGGTCATCCTCCGTGTTATTCCCTTCATTGCCCATTGGCCCGGCGACCGACTAGACCCAACAATCTACGTGGTGTAAATTGAACCAGTCGCGCAAGGCTGTTGGACTCATTAAAATAGCTGATTGGCATTCATGCTGAGCATTGCAAGACCCGGTTCTACTAGGACTGAGGTATGTACATATAGCATTTGAATTCTAGTTTGTTTAACTGTACCGTAGTTAACGTCTCGACTTTCTTGCTTGGTTGGACCCGGGAGTTTTTGCGTGTCATTCGAGCCCCAATCGAATCTGTCGCCTACATGAATAGCTTATCGCCACAGTAAAGTATACGATCTTCTTCGCCTACAGATGAGCAATTGGAGGT